ACCACACATCCATCGTAACATTCTCATTTCATTCGCATGCAGTCTATTTTCATCCTTCTTCTTGACGGCCCAGCATTCACTTCCATACATGACGACAGGTCGGATGATCGATTTGTAAATTTTCCCCTTCAGCATTATTGGCATTCGGGGATCGCACGTTGTGGCTGTGACCTGTCGCCAATAAATGTATATGTGAATAAAAAATATTGAAATAAATAAATTAACCGGCCTTTATACCTATAGTTTGTCACATATTGGTCAGAATAATAAAAAGATAAGTTAGGTTAGGTTGGTTTTTCATGTCACTACTTAAACGCAATGGAAATAAAGGTTTTTATCATCGTTATATTTTTGTAACGCAAAAGAAAATATTCTGTTGCTATTATTTTATACTGCAGTGGTTTTCCCCTTCCTTAACATTTTTTACAATTGTTAATTTCAGATTTGATATATTATTTACTTGTTGTGTTAAAAGTGATTGAAATGGTTTTGCTAGGTTATATCGAATTGCCCAATAGTTACGTAGTAATATTCATAATGACTAGACAATGTGATAAATAATGAAGTTTAAATCAAAATTAGTTACATTGCCCGTTATTCATATTGGCCGGGCATTATTAATAGTGCCCTGATTAATCACTTTGTCCATAACATATACACATTTGCTCAGTCAATGGAGCTGTAGTAGCTCAGGGGCTTGCCGTAAATTTCAAAGGCCCCTGAACATATAAACACCTGGGTTGAGGTGTCTATGGACATAGTTGTCTATGGAGGATAAAGAGTGACAAGTAAGTACACCGTCCATCTGATGATAAATGGATACTTTTGCCCAAGAATTTCTACATCTATCCTCGATTGAAGAACGACGTGCAGATACGCTGTCACGATTAAAAATGGAGGCATTCCATTTAAGACTAAATGGGTTCAATTCTCGTCACACTTAATACGAAGCAAAGTAACGATATTCTGCTTTTAATCCGAAACTAACCGATAAAACTGGAATCTCTTCTCTGTTACCGAGTTACTAGATCGTCAGATATAAATATCCATGGCCTATAATAATAATAGGTTATGTGGGGTGTGGTGGGTGGCGGCGTTAGGGATAAACATCACCCTATTTCGTCACGTCAGTGTCGTAAGAGGAAATTTTAGGAACTACGTAAGTATCTCCTGCTTTCCCAAATATAGCACTATAACCACTTCATTTGTAGATTAGACGGAATATATCTAGACTGACAAAAGAAAGCATCATCAAGGTTTAAGTGATAAACAAATTCTTCCAACGGGAGAGGCCTACGTCCAGCAGTGGAATATTGCAGGCTTATGAAGAATAAGAAGAAGAAGACGGATTTAGAATTTGTTTAAAAATAACAATTCTGATACAAACTTCGTGAATAGCATTCATACATGTTTTTCCAAATTCACAGGAATTCCTTCTACTGACATTTGCTGCACATCTGCTCATGCATTTTAATGAACGCAAAGGTAACGTTTGAAAACAAATATGAAAGCAACATGCATTTACTTCGAGCTTTATACAGTTGGATTTTTTGATTTAATATTTCTTTGGTCTGAAAATCTATTCACAATGATAAAAACAGTTTTTGGTTCTTTCAATGAATGCCTTTAATTTATTTATTATCTTATGTAAATTATATGAATAACATGTAATGTCTTTTGATAGCAACATAAATTAAATTAGAGTATAATGGAACTTAAACAACACTCATTAGTATTTTTATAAAACTGTTAAGCAGCTACAGCGGTCCGTGAAAACCTACAGCCAATTTCAAACAAACTTGGATATATGTGTGTTATCACTAAGTACTAAGATGTAATGCATCACATTATTATGGCACTCTATACCCTTTAGACTAGCACAGAACAAAACATTTCACTTCCAAGCCCTGGTCAACGTTAGCAATATTTTAGATTGTTCAGACATCTTGAAGCGGATGAAAACTGAATTATAAAATTCCATTTAATTTATATATAAATACATACAGCTAAAACTAATAAAAGCGTTTTAAAAAGGAGCATTTCAGTTAATGGGGTCTCCGGGTCACTACATCCACCATACAAAACGCCACAGCATTAAGCTGCTGTTTTACGCTGCTCTGTGAAAACGCATTCCTTACCGGGTCTTCAATGCATTTTGTGGTTCATCCTTTGCCTGGGACAGAGGATCAATTGATAGACAGATTGAAAGAAGTTGCTGAGCGATGGAACAGATTTGGGACAGGTCCAGGGTCATCAGCGCTTAGCTCATTGCGAGGTGTGCGCGCCGTGGCCGCTGGACCAGCTCACATTGCATGTTTACTGGAAGATGGGACTATTTGTCGCGCTGCTTTCTCCATCATCCCAGATAGACTTGACTTAAGTAAAGCAGATGCTAGCAAGAATGGAGGAAATTGAGGGGGTGGCAGTGGTGGTGGGGGAACAAGTGGAGGGAAACAGGGAGGCAGTGGCAGTAGCTGTGGTTCAAGGCAACAACCACGTACTAGAGCCCGTATAATGAGGAATTCAATTCGTGCTGCACGAAACTCACAAGGGTCTACAAGTCGCGCCACCGGCGTTATTATCGGTGCATCTAGTTCGGGCCGAGTCGTTTCAGTTCCTGCACCACTTGTGCCAGAAGATTTGGTAACACAAGCGCAAGTCGTCCTACAAGACAAAAGTCGAAGTCTTATCATAAGAGAACTACATCGTACAAACTTGGACGTTAATTTGGCGGTGAACAACTTACTGTCCCGCGATGACGAATAAAGTGAAGAACCGGAAGGCGGCAAAGGTGGCGATGGCTACGTACCAGAATATCTCATTTCACTGCTTGATGGCGGCTTTCATGCTATCCAGCAGGACCACTCAGTCATTATCGATGCTGATGCGATGTTTTCCGAGGATATCTTCGGGTACGCGGCTATCAGAAGTCGTAATGGCGGTGGTCGTGGTGGCAGCGGCGGCCGTGCTGGAGCCAGCCGTGAAAGCAGCAGCTCTACTCAAGAGCGGCCGTCAGAGTTTAGTAGGTGCCGCTCAGTACTTTGGGCCGCGTAGGTGGCTTGAGTCGGCTCTTCGAGATACATCGTGGGATAAGGATGGAGTCTAGAACAAGAAGAAAGATTAGGCAATGGCGGCATCTCCTCTCTGGGTGTCTGAAGATCTGGAATACTGGGACAGCAACATCCGTTTTACTCACATTGCGGCTACATACAGTGAGCTGATTAACATCTCTACCCATGGACAGTTACATCAGTGGCGTTGGGCTGATTCACATCCCTATCAGCGCAATGACTCATTGGGGGCAAATAGCGTATACCATCCACGTGGAAACTGGCTTGGTATGATGTCAGGCGAGCGCATCGTCAACATAAGTGCCGCGGGTATTCGAGTCTCAGTGCTAACTGACGCGGGAAGGATTGCCACTTTTCTTGATGAGTCTATTGCACATGCACCTGGTGCTCCTTGTTTGGAGCATCCCTTACAGACTTTTTCCGAGTTTGGCAATGAAGTGGAAAAGATGGCGGTAAAGACAGTAACAAAGATATGGCTGATCGTTTGGACATGCCACCACCGCCAAGTCCTGCTTCATCTACTTGCAGTGATACTAGCACATCACACAAACGCGCTAAGCGTGTTACCGTACGCGGTGAAGAAGGTTCTTCCAATGACGGCACTAAACGTGACGAAGAAGAATGGCCTCTTAAGGAAGTCGTGTTCTTAGAGGATGTAAAGAGCGTTCCGTTGGGCCGCGTGTTGAAAGTGGACGGAGCTTATGCCGCAGTCCGCTTCCCAACTGTGGGCAAAGATGGAAAGGCACCGACAGTACCAGATGATTGGACGACTTTACTTCAAAATTGCCGCTTAGTGCGTAAAGATGACTTAGTAGCAGTAAAATGGGGCGCTGGAGGTTCTTCAGGTTCTCTTGGTCGAGATTGCTTGCAACGCTCACCTAGGAAAGTCGCGTTACCACCAGAATTGCAAGTCATCACTATTGCTGTGTACAGTCGCGGCGTTCATGCCGTCGTTCGTCGTCCCGGTGGCGCGCTCGCTTACGCTGTATACGCAGTGAGTGCGACCCGTGCCCTCACAGATAGCACTTTCCCAACTGATCACAGTGCATTGCTTGGGCAATCTAATGGTCATGGAATACAACTTGCTACTGCTGCAGAGGGCAGCGAGGCGGTGGTGATGATGGTGGACGGCAACGGTGCTCTGTACCCGATCGCGCGCGACTGCGTGGGCATGGTGCGCGAGCCGCTGCCGCTCAACCTGCCGCCGGCGCGCGCGCTCGCCGCGCACGTAGGAGTGGGCGATACAAATCGTATATAGATACAATATCTATATATCAGTACAATATCCAATATCTATATATCCGACGACAAACTAACTATGTATTAGATATTACGATTTTACGATACCGTGTTGATATGAGTCATCGCAGAATATCTAATATCTACTCAAAACCGAAACGTAAAATATCTAAATACTCGTATATATGTTACCGGAAATGTATTAAATCTAGGAATTGTATACAAATCCTAGGAAATTTATATAATACCGAAGCTATTTAGGAAATGTATAAAATATTGTATCAAAAACTATTTAATACATAAATGTCCTAGGAAATGTGCACAATTCCTAGGAATTGTATATAATTCCAATATCGTATTAGGAAATGTATGAAAATAATGATTTGTGTAATAAAACACGTTGTTAAAATGAGAATAATAATTTTTATTAAAGCACTCGTTGAGACAACAGCGTTGAGGTAACAGTCATTTCGTATTATATAATAATCTTCATATATTATCTTACTAATTAAATCTTCGAAAATCAAGTATCTAGGCACTTTTAAAATGTATTTATCGCAAAATCGACTTATATTATTCTCATAAAGTCAAACTTTCGTTGGGTAAGTAATTAGTCTGTTATTTAAGTAATTATAAATGTCACAATATTAAAGTAAGTCTTTATATTATATAACGAGTCAGTCCATATGGCTATTTATTTTTGCAGGGTAAGCCGGAATGGCACTTGGAAGTACACAATAATTTATTTTTATAGCACAGACATCTTGCTGTAGTACAGTTTTTTTTTCAATGGCACTTTTTAAATCCCTGGCCGGTTCCAGTGGATTGTAGGTTAGCAACTGACCGTAGTGCTATCTCCGTACTCGGTACATCCTCTGCATCAAGAAGAGCTCTTGGACACACATTAATCTGAAATCGAGAATATACTTGTTTTAATATTCCGTTCTTGGTACCAATTTGATAAAGCTCATCATCGGTTTTAGCCAAAACTACACCTTTAATATTTCGGACATCACCACGTCCTCTGTCAACCTCTGGAACTGCAATTCGTACAGAAGTGCCAATAGGTACAGGAGCAAACTTCTTTTCACTCGATTTCAGCATTTTTTCAGCCTGTTGTTGTAGGTTTTTCTTAGCACTTATATTTCTTTGAACATAATAGACACAAAACTTTAGATCCAAATCCTTCATCAGATGATTCTTCAGCAACAGCGCAAATAGCGTGGATTGCACATCCACATTCTCTACATGTGTGAGCCTCTGTAGTTTCTTGTGAACAAACGCTGCATTGGTGGGTGCAAGCTGGAGGTTGCGTATTTATTTCGGGTAGATCTGAATCGTTGTTAGAAACTTGACTTGCCTCCGTGTTCACCTTAGAGAATTCACATGCAGTGACTTCGGGATTTTCTTCCTTTTTGGTAAGGTCCTGTATAATTTTCTCCAAATCTTCTTCAGTTTCTACATTTTGCGTGAAATCATTGGGTAACTGTAAACCAACTTTTACTTTACACCCAAAAAGTGCCTCATAAAGGGATTGCTTAATACCAGCGTGAAAAGCTCTGTTTTTCATGAGTTGCACAAATCTTAAACCCTCACTCCAATGTGAATTATTATTGTCTTGCATCCACGTGGTCAACATATTTTCAATATCCTGATTTGCTCTTTCCACACTCCCCTGACTTTGCGAATGCCTGGGTTTACCATGAATAATTTTCAAAGTAGGCCAATATGTTTTTAAATTCTCAATAATTCGGTTGGAAAATTCTCTGCCGTTATCAGACTGAAGTATTGCAGGAGCACCAAGTAGAGTAAATATGTCCAATAAAGTGTGAGCCACTTCCTCAGCTCGTTTTGTTTTAAGTGGTTTTAAAACAACAAATTTTGTTAAATGATCTTGATACACCATTATAAATTTGTTATCACCGTCGGGCTGGGACTGAAAATCTATCAGATCCACTTGGCATCTAGAGTTAAACTCTGACGATATATTAGGCTTTACAACAATGCCTTTTTTGATGTTTTTTTGCTTTTGTTGACAGGGTTCACAAAGTTCAAGATAAGTTTCTATATCCTTACGTGTTATGTTTTTGTAGTGACTCCCTACCTCTTTCATCATACGATCTCTTCCGCCGTGACCAATTTGAATATGTGCCTCGTGTAATATGTCGAATAACTCCCTATCACATGCGTAGTAAATAATAGTGCTTGTAGTGTCTTTAACAGGAAAAATAAGCTTACTTTTCTGGTCAATGGTAAGCACATCGTATCGCCGCAATAACCAATAATCACGAGAAGTCTTTCTAGCTGTTATTTTTGCCGTGGAAACTTCTTCAATTAACTTTTTATAACGTTCATCTTCAATATAAGCAGTGTTCTTAGCGTTTGTTATCGTTCTTAATGACGCTAAAGTACTATAAAATCGCTCTTTCATAAGCGCGATGCGTGATTCGGTAGCCGGTAACAGCGACGTGCGTACACACTGACAGTTAACGCGGCACTAGCGAGTAGAGATGGGTAACTCAGGAAAGATAGATACAAAAGATATGAATCAATCCGTTTCCATTAATCAATCTTTATATCCATCCGCATCCGAATGTATCACTGTATCAGTATATCTTTACAACTTATTCACTCAAGGCATCTTTTAACTTTTTATATCTAACATCTGTGTCGCACATTGCGCACACTGCTTTCTATTATACCTCGGCCGGCGTGGCTGGGCATTTCAGGAAGATTTCGAAGTCCATAGTACAGACGTTTCTTTCGCAGCTCACTATTTAGAATGTTCTGTCGCGCTTTGGCAAGACGGAGAGAGTGAGTTGTTTGACCATTATAAACTGTAATACGTTGGCACAAAAAGGTAAATTGATAACTCTATGACTGGCGCATAGTGCTTAAAGTCATTAAGCGGTACGTTAACATTTAAGTATTATACTGGTTTAAACCGTACCTATGTGTACTTTGCCTATGCATTTTTTAGTAAACAATGCAAACTAATTTCGGTTATAAAACCATCGTTTTTAAGAAAGTTTTATAACCGAAATAGTAGTCGTTTATATCCATAAAAAACGGCCAAGTGCGAGTCGGACTCGCGCACCCAGGGTTCCGAACAAATCCGTAGGTATATTAGTTTAAAATTATTAAAAATACCCTATCTATGTTATTTACGTTAATCATTTATTTAATTATTATTTTAAACTAAAATTGTAAGTAAATTTTTCGAGTAAGTGCCTATTAATATTTATCAATCATAACAATAATAGCGATCGCTGTAAGTTTCACAGTACGCGAGCAACCCGGGTTCGATCCCCGCCGGCACCAATGAAATTGTTGATTGCAATTTTAAGTGCTGATTTACCACGTGTTCGGCGATGAAGGAAAACATCGTGAGGAAACCGCCATGTCTGAGAAATAAAAAAACTTTAATTTTTTGATCATAACTCTATTTGTTATGATCAAAAGATACCTAGAAAGAAACAGCAACCAAATATATCAGAAAGATGCACAATGTTACGACCAAGCAAAATGCAAACAGCTCTATAGGTCTTATATATAGGTTGATAGGTATCTATCACTCTTACTGATAGGATTGAGTTGAGCGAAGCGAGCCACGCTGAGTGAGCAACGAAATGTAATGCGATGCGTGTCGTGAACGCGAGCATGATCTACTGATACATAAGGATATAAAGATATAAAAGAGTGATACATATCCTAGTGATCAAAAGATACATATCAATCTTTTCTTTTAAGTGATACACATTGCCCATGTCTACTAGCGAGATCGCCTGATCAGACAAAACAATACCCTCCCCTCGCCACGCTATCCCCGCATACCCATTGATATCTCAAATATTTACATTTCCGACTGCTATTTAGACAATGTATAGATTTCCTAGGAAATGTGTCTAGTATAATTTATTTTACACATTTCTGAGCGATTTTAGGAATTACATACATTTCCTAGGAATTGTATACAATAACGGATTACATTCCGGTAACATATACACTGATTCGGATACCGAACAAACCTTGAGCGCGATAGAATATATAGTTAAAACAGATATTACGATTTACGACTACTGTACAACGAAAAGGTGATACGCTTACGCTTAATATTTTTAATATTAATCCTTTTTAGTAGTACAATACGATTTATTACAGAACACATAATTTTCAATATCCAGTCCAAGTAGTATAATTTTATTATTACTTTGTTGTGTTGCACTGTTTTCAAAATAACCTATTTCAGATCTTATTGTGTATTTAATAGATTGTTATTTTTGGTATGTAAATTAAAACTGAGAAAATTATGAAGGAAAGTTTTTTTCACCGATTCTGAAAAACTATACCCGCTTTCTAGATATGGGATAATTTCCTTTGGCGTAGGGGTATAATCATGAAATTTGCTTCATGGGTATAATATAACCACTAATCATAACCAAAAGTGTGGCATAAAATATAAAGGTTTAATTTTAATGCAAATAAATGTTGCAATCCTTATTTTTAAACATGGAGTGCCTAAATTAAAATAATATGAAATATTTTTAAAATATTATTCTTTAGAGGAAAGGAGTAAAATATACTTTGTAAAAGCGCCACCTTCTAGATTCTATACGTAAAGTGATTTTATCGAACAAAAATTGATTAACGCTCAAGGTGGTACGTATATTATACGCTAGATGGCATAAACACGACACGATTAAATTTAATATTCTATTTCATTATGTCGCAGGATAAATCCTACTTTTTATATTATGATATACATTAAGAATACTTATATTACATAAATAATACCACATAATATCTATAAATCAATATATGCAAATTTGTACATAAATCGCGTATCACAAATGTGACTGAGTACTGACTTCTTTTCAGAACGAAGATATTAACAAATATATAGATATTGAAATATATAGATACAAAATCGGATTTTCATATCCAATACATAGGTACGATTTGATACAGGGTAAAAGTGATATTACCCATGCCTATAGCGTAGGTATTTTCACTTTTGTATGGGAGTGATGTATCTGTTTAGTAAACTATTTATTAATCTGTGACTTGAGTGACACCGAGAAAACGCCGCTGGAGTGATACCACATCGTGGGGCGGTGCCGGGTGTCATGGTTGCTGCCGATTAAATGGGTTACGTCAAGTTACATATACACACTTTCTAACACAAACTTACAAGCACATACTTAACGCCTGACCGCGCCTTGGGGTTGGTCCTCGATTCGGAACCCGGTAATTTTGTATTAATTACCTAGCCTCATATACTACATATCCATAGGGCATTTGGGCCCGAACTCTCTGGTTGCTCGTCAAGTGCATTACTGATGGGCCCTAATGCAGTCGGACTTCTGTCTGGGCAACTGAGAGCCGTAACACTTACCGTAAAATAACCGTACCTACCCCGTGTAGTGGCGGGTAAGAATACTCACTACCCGTGGGTGTCGTAAGAGGCGACAGAGGGAAACTGAGGCAGAGGATGCGCAGCAGAATTTTTCTGATAACAGCAAAACAACAATAAAAAAACTGCGGTTGCCAACCCGCTCCCTAAGCGTGGCAAAAATGGCAATATATCTCCTATGAGCAATGACATAAATAAACGGCCCCCATTTCCCGGCGGCCCCGCTATTCCCGTTTACAGTGGCGACCATGGTAACGGCGGGGCAGGGGGTGCTAAGAATCTCCGGTGAAGGTTCGGTTGCTACCTACGACGACTTCACCTGACAACTTATAACGCACGCACTCTGAGAACTGACGATAAGATCCTGGAGCTGGAGGAAGAGATAGGCAAGTTGCGCTGGAATATCATAGTATTATCCGAGGTCCGAAGAGAGGTGGATGACACGGAAGTCCTCGAATCTGGCAACTTGTTCTATCACTGGGAGGGCGACCATCTGTCCCAAGTAGGGTTACCATATAAAAAAATCAAAAGTCCGGAGAAAAGGCCAGATTTCCATTGAAAAATCCTGAGATATTTTACAGTTTGAGAAATTTCTCCAAAGTACTTAACAATTTAAAAAAAGTAATAATATTATTTTTTTTATACACTGTGGATCTCGTTCACGCGTTGCACATCGCACTCAAAGGGGGTAGGGGTCGCGACACTGCTCTTATCAGAGCCGTGTCGAACACTCTCTCAGTTACACCACAGTGCCATACTCAAGTAAATCATCATCATCAATCAATCTCAATTTAAAATGAAATACTCAATACCATGCTTTAATCATTTTCCAATAGGTATTACACGACTACCAGAGATAATGCGTATTTGTCAATATATATATTTGCAATTACACCCCAGAATGCAAACGTAGGAAGATTTTTTTCTATTATGGGGGCTCAATGGTCGAAAGAAAGAAACCGACTAACGGTGTCTTCAGTTCGAGTCCTGCTTTTAATTTAATATAAGTTGAAGAGATTAACGTGTGGGGCATTTTATAAATCAATACTTAAAGAAAAAAACCTTACTTAAAAAGGTACCTTCACATATTAAGTATGATAAAACTGTACTTGGATAAATTAGTTTTGATTTTAATTGTGCAATCATTACCAAAGGACGATTGGAGGAAATGTATAAGGATATCTCTAGAGCCATGCATTCCTCCAAAACCTACAATACGGTGTTAATGGGAGACTTCAACGCAAAACTAGGTACAAGAGAGAACGTTGAGCTGAAAGTGGGGAAATTCGAAATAGGGCAACGGAACCAAAGGGGCCAACAGCTGGCCGACTTCATGGAGAAAAAGGAACTCTTTATGATGAACTCTTTTTTCCAGAAGCGCCCCCACAGGAAGTGGACCTGGTCGAGCCCTGACTGTTCGACAAAAAATGAGATTGACTTAATTATGACGACCAGACGACAATATATAGTCGTCTGGTCGTCTGGTCTGGTCTATATATATATATATATATATATATATATATATATATATATATATATATATATATATATATATTATGTATATATATCATTTGGAGTGTAATTCAATAATTTGGGCTCCACATGAGAAGAAGTACGATCTAATGCTAGAGAAGGTACAAAACAAATTTGTAAGGTATTTGTATCTCAAGTTATATGGGGTGTATCCTTTTTACCCACTGCAATACCCCACATTATTTGTTCTGGGTATGGTAGGGTACAATCAGCTCAGGGTAAGGAGAGAACTTAGACTAGTTTCATATATTTTTATGGTCCTTAGGAGTAAAATTATTAATGAGAATATGTTGAAGAAGATTAATATTTATGTTCCGGATAGATATGTATGGCGGCGGCGTCAGCCAGACCTACTGGCCGTCCCTAGATGTCGCACTAACTTACTGCGAGAGGCACCCTTGACGCGAGCTTTTCGAACACTAAACCTGATCGACAGAAAATCAGATTTATTCTTTTGTACTCTGAACGAATTCACAAAACTGGCT